TGGAACTCTCCCACTCCGGCTGGCGGCGGCGGGGGTCCCCGGGCTTCCCTGGGCTGGGGACGAACTGTCACCCCGACGTGCGGATGCTTGGAATGTGCTGCTGGCAGCCCGGGGCACTGGGGATCCTCCAGGGGTGCCGGGAACCCATAAGGTTGAGGTATGCTTTCCCCAGGGAGCTGGGGAACTGCAGGGCTGGGGGTTCTGGGGACTCCAGAGGGCCCTGGGGACCTGTTCGGGCTGGGTGTGCTGTGGGCGGTGGGAGGTGGCACCCCAGGCTGCTGCAGGCCCCTCTGGGGTGCTGAAGGGCACAGGGGTGCTGCGGGGTTTGGGGTGTTCCTCCGTGCACTTGGAGAGCGCACCGTGGGGTTGTGCATAGTGCTGTGTGTGTACCCCGGCTGTATCCGGGCTCCCCGGGTGTAAATTTAGTTTCATCTCCGAGCCCCTCCTCACAGCTCGGGCCATCGCTGCTGGTGCCGTGCATTGTAAGCAGCCCTGAGAAAATCAGGTTTTGTTGGTGGAAAGTGCTGGTGGGCAGCTGTGGTGAGGAGTTTGATGTTCTCTAGTGAAGCTGTAGGGAGCCTATAGTGCTATAGGTGTGAGGGGGCTCGTAGAATTGATCCCCACATGGGTAAGCCTGTGTGTGGACTCTACACCTGTTGTGTGTGAGCTCAGGGAGGTCCCTGAGGGGCTGGAGCGGGTGCAGAGCCTCCGTAGCCCACTTGGCCTCCCAACTAGCCAGGCCATCGATGACAACAACTCCAGAAATAACAGTCCAACCTGAAATTAGGCTGTTGAGATGATCAAAGCATTTCCTTTTCTCTCCCTGGGTCGGGGATCCCACCTGGCTCCAGCTCCTCCAGGAGCAGATCCAGCATAGCCAGCATGGCTGAAGTGGCCTGGGCAAATAGTCACAGGCTCTTCTGTACACCCCCTGCAGCAGGGGATAGGGACAGGACTGTGTCATGAGCCCTGGATACCTCCTGCTGCACCCAGCTACAGTGCTGGCAGGTAACACTGCAGGTGACAAGCACGTGTGACAGCTGGCTGTGTGTGAGGAGACTGCATCCTGGCAGGTTGCTGGCAGTGGAGGAAGCAGTGTGCTTTCTCAGTGGTTTCCCTTTAACTTTGGAACAGCCTCAGTTCCGAGCTTCAGGGCTTATCGCCTGCGCTGCTATGAGGGAAGCATGCCTGGCTGAGATAAATCAAGTTGCACTGGCCAGGGCTGCTCTGGACTCTGTTCTTCTCACATTCCTCATGACCTCAGTATTTTGGCTCAGGAGGAGAGCCCTGCTGGTGGAGCAGCTCACACTGCACTGCAGCAGGTGGTTGAACTGGGCTGAGGGCTGCTACAGTTTTGCCCCTGGGGAGGGAAAGGCCACAGAGGTCACAAGCTTTAGGAACAGCTCCCCCAGACCTCTCCTCTGCCAGTGCAGGAGCTTGGGAGTCCCAAGGGGAAATCACCTCATGAGGCCAGGGATCCCAAGGTGCTGCCTGCAGCTGGGGCTGGGGCATGAGGACCGGGTGGTACCTGGGCTGTGCCAAGGTGCCCAGCCTCCCTCATCCCTGACATGATTTCTTATTGTATTGTATTGAGCAGAGCAGCTCCAGTTTTAGCCCCAAGTTTCCCATGTTGGCATTGGTACAGCAGCATGAGGGGAAAATACAGGTGTGAGCCCAGGGCAAAGCATAGCCCTGCCTCCACAAGGGTGGTTGGGTGCCTGTGCATCATTCTCCTCCTCTTCCCTCGGTCCCAAGCCTCCCTACGAGTCCTTTGCTTGTACCATCCTACTTTTCTGTTGAAATTCCAGTGCTAGAAACAGCACTTTCATTGCTTCCAGAGAGACCTGGGATCATGTAAGGGCTCCCCCCAGGGTAGTCCATGTGCCCAGCCCTTTCAGCAACCTCCACCAGTGCCCAAGGGAGCAGCTGAAGCTGCTGAAAATCAGCCTTTGGCACCAAAGTGACTGGTACGATTAGCCCCAGCAAGACTTCAGCCCAAGTGGAGGGCAGCTGCCTGAGTGGTGCCATGGTTGTGGAAGCCAGGGCTGGTGCTGAGAGTGGCTGGGCCAAGGGGGTGGGGAATCAACCTGCTGCACACCGAGACTGTCTGCACCCACTTGTCCAATCCAGCCCCACACCTCTTCCCCAGCCCAGGGACAGTTTACACTGCCTGAGGAGTCTGGTTTGCACCTTGTAGGAGGGTTTGAACATCACGGGGTCCCTGGAGCCACTTGGACATGGTTGGGAGCTGGCAGGTCCCATCACCTTTTTGGAGCTGGGTGAATACAGAAACTCCTGCCCTAGTCCAGCCCATCCTGTCAGACCAAAAGAAATGGGGTCTGGAAGCAGTGGGAGGATGTCCCCCACAGTTGGGATGCAGCTGCTGACATTGGCTGAAGGGGCCATAGGAGGTGGCAGGTGACAAGCAGCCTGTCCCCAGCTCAGTGGAGGGGACATCAGTGCAGTGCTGGTGCGAAGAGCAGCTTTGCTGCTGGAGTGGTGTGGGAGGTCTCCAGGCCTCAGCAGAGGAGGCTTTTCCTGTCCTCAGGCAGGACAATACCCAGGCCGAGTGGCGGAAGGGAGCTGCCGGCCACTTCCCTTCTAGGAAACGCACCCACTGGTTCTGGCTCCTGTTGCTCTCTCTTCCTCTTTGATTTACAACATGTGTGGAGCCCAGCGGGAAGTTTGTCCTGGCCCCAGCACTGTTTAATTACCCGCAGCAAGGGCTATGCAGAGCAGGAAGCCAAAGTCTTCCCATGGTGGGAGGGATTAGACAAGGTGGGGGATGTGTGGACCCTCTTGGGCATGAAGCCAGCAGTTTGGGAATGGTGGATGCCAGCATGGAGCTGGGAAGTTACCAGGGAAGGTGGAATGGGTTCCCACTCAAAGGTGGGATGATTCCAAGGGAGGTGGAATTTGGGATGTGCATCGGCTGTAGGTGGGTTGGCAGAGGAGTAGGACAGCCCCAGAATCCCTCCTGGTGACTAGTGGGAAGTGCTTTATCTCTGCCCAGTTGGACTCAGCTCCCAGCCCTGTGCACTGGGCTGGGGGTGGGAGGCTGCCACGGTGCCCAGCCCAAGCCTGGCCTGGCAGTGCCACAGCTGCTCTGCTGGCTCCACAGGGTCAGCGCCGGAGCTGGAGAGTGGCTGCAACATCAGCGTGAGGGGCGGATGTGGGTGTTTCTGTGAAGCCAAGGCCATTCCCTGGGTAGCACTGAGCCTCAGCTTCCCTGAGGGCTGCGCCCAAGCCACCATTCCTCTGTGGCATTCCTCCTCCCCTGCTTTCTTCTGAAAATAGCCCAGTGCCAAATGCTTTGCCCACCAACAGCTGCTCAGCCTCATGGCCACCTGTGCCCCATGGGCAGAACCATCAGGGCCCTGATGCCATGCACAGCAGCAATGGATGCTCCCAAGGTGCTGTTGTCCCATCCTGCTCCTGCCAGGAGCACTTTACACCTGGGCCCCAGAATCCAGATGCTGCCAGATGTTGCAGCAGGTCCCAGCTCAGTGCTCACAGCTGGTAGCACCCCCAGCCATGAGCTCACTTCTGGACCACAGCCGTATCCTGTTGGCTCTCCTCCAGTGTGTCCATGACTGGAAAAATCAGGCTCCCATTTCATTCCCCTCTGCCTGATCCCCCATTATGGACAGGGAAAAGCAGTCAGGTCTCTCCTGGGGGTCATCGGTCCCTTAGGACACCCCTGAGGCCTTGTGGAACACCCTGGGTGATGAGAATGGGCATCATACCGAGCACTGTCAGATGCTGGCAGCTCCCTGCAGTCACGTGGCTCTGCCAAAGCATCAGTTCCCTTTATCCAAAGCAAACTTCAAACTGAGTATTGTACCTATACAGGTTTCAGCTTCTTTTTTTTCCTGGCCTGCTCCCACTGTATGGCCAAGCTCCAGCTTATGACCCTTGGGAGCTGGCAGCACAGCCATCCCAGCTGAGCTGTAGAGCATTCCTTAAGTGTACAAACAATCCCAGCCCCACAGACCGCACCATGCTGGCCCAGCCACCAGCTCCAGTGTCAGCCCTGGGCTGGGGGAAGCCAGGAGACCTGGCAGATGGTGGGGCCAGCCACAGGGCTCTCCCCGGGTGGGGGTCTGAGCAGTGTGGCTGCCTGGGGCTCAGCAGCCCTGGGGTCATAGGGTTTGGCTGAACGTGGTCTTGTTGTTTCAGGTTGATGGTCCTCTGGTCAACAGCATTCTGGGAAGAAGATGGCTCAGCCAGCACCCCTGAACCAGAACCTCCCAGGTAAAGAGACCAGGGGTGTCACCAGGTAGTGACAGCGGAAGGGGTGCAAGGGTGGTGGCAGGACTGAATTGTCCCATCCCTTCCCAATGGAGTTCCTCACTCCGGCACCAGCCCTGACATGGACTGGGTGCCCTGTGATACCCTATGGCACTGAGGGTGGTGGAGACAAACACATCGTACATTGTGGAGGAGAGGGGGCTGCAGGCTGTAAGTTCCAGTATAGCCCAGTTGGAAAAGCCTGTCTCCACCAGGTCCCTGCCTAACCATCCTTGCTCCTCCTACAGATCTTGGGGGCCCGTTCTTGTACCGGGACCAGGACGATGGAGAGAAGAGCTCGTATTCTGTGGAAACCCCTTATGGCTTCCTGCTGGATCTTGATTTCCTGAAATATGTTGATGATATTGAAAGTGGCCAAACACTCAAGAAAGTGCCACTGCCTCGCAGGGTGAAAGGGTCCCGTCCACCACCCAGCACCCTGCGCAGCCCCAGCAGCCACACCAGCGCCTGGACCTCCACCGAGTCCCTCACCTCCATGGCCAGCGAGGAGGGCAGGACTGCACTGCTGCTGTCCCAGCACAGCCGAGCACCCCTGGAGCCTGCGAGCAAGCCAACCTCCCACACCATCTCGCTGCCACCAGTACGGCTGCTCCCACCTCCCACCCACAAGTGCCTTGTGCCAAACCCACGCGTGGAGAAAACCTTGCTGGAGACAAGCAGGAGGCTGGAGCAGGAGCAGGGCCGTTTGCAGGATATTGGTGCTCCCTCCCACAGTGGCCAGCCACCCCACTGGGTACCAGTGGGCACCGAGGGCCAGGGGGGCTGGGGTCGGGTGAGCCCTGGCAGCTCGGGACACAGCACTCCGGCTGCGGGGCTCAGCACGGCCCCGCTGCAGCACGTGCGAGAGCAGATGGCTGCAGCCCTGCGGCAGCTCCGGGACCTAGAGGAGCAGGTGAAAACCATCCCACTCCTGGAGATGCAGATCTGCGAGTTGAAGAGGGAGAAGGCAAAGTTGCTGGAGAAGCTGTCGGCAGAGCCTGGTGAGGCATTGTGTCACCCCTCTGGCTCTGAGGCAGGGGCAGGGGGTGAGGAAGCACCCCGCACAGGGCCAGAGAGTGAAGCAGAGCCGGTGAGGGGGCGAACGAGCAAAATTGCAGAGCTGAGGAAGCTGACAGAGAAGCTGGCTGTGCCAGAGCGGAACATCAGGGCTTGGCCAGGCAAGAGCCCCAGGGTGGCTGAGAGGCCTTGCTGCTCTGTGGCAGTGGGTGAGGATCGGGCCATGACAGATGCCGTCTTCTACTACCGGTCACAGCAGGAGAGCAGGGACACGGCAGACAGCGGCACAGGGGGACGCAAGGATGTGGCTGTCTGGGTGCTGGAGTCCTCGCTGGGGTTGGCCACTGAGACGGAGCGGGAGCTGGAGCTTCTGCAGCAGACGGTGGGGCACCAGAAGGAGGTGATCACCCTGATGGAGGGGCACCTGCAGGAGGCCACACGGGAGCTGGAAGAGCTGCGGCTGGAGGTGTGTGCCCGCCGGCCTCGTGGGCAGGTGGACAAGGAGGTGATGGCCAAGCCACAGATGGCTGAGGCACTGGTGGAGGCTGTGGTAGTGACACAGAGCCAGGCAGCTGGTGACCCCCCAGAGACGGCAGAGGCAGGTGTGGAGTGCTGCCCCCCGACCTCCTGCGTCGCCGTGGGCTGCCACCCTGATGGGCGGGACGTGGCAGTTGGACCCGACTCAGCTGCCAGCTGTGACGACAAGGGCAGCCAGACAGATGTGGATGTGGCAGGAGAAGAGAAGGAAGGAGAAGAGAAGGATCCTGGTGTGGGCAAGGTGATGGAGCCTGGCCTGGGTGATGGCCTGAGTAGCTCATCAGCACTGGGCACAGGAGCAGCGGGGAGGATGTGCCCAGACAGCCAAGCCCCTGGGCCGGCTGTGCTGGAGACAATACACAGCAACCAGGACGCATTCCCAGGACAGGAAAGTGGAGCTGCCCAAATCCCTGCAGCAGGTGAGTGTCACCAGGGATGTCATTTGGGTCTGGCTTAGAATGTTCCTGCAGGAAGGGAGAGGATGGCCTTGTTGGGGACAATGCCTGCAGGGCCAATGCTACCTATGCTCCAGCAGTTGCCCATGTCTCTTCCATGCCTGCCCAGAGGTCTGGTGGGTTTGGGGTGCTTGGCTAGCCCAAAGGAGAGACTGTTTACAAGAGCATGTAGTGACAGGACAAGGCGGAGTGGTTTCAAAACAGGAGGTTCATATTAGATGTTGGGAAAAATTCTTAAACATGAAGTGGTGATGCCCTTGCACAGGTTACCTAGGGAAGTTGTGGATGCCCCATCCCTGGAAGTGTTTAAGGCCAGGTTGGATGGAGCTCTGAGCAAGCTGGTCTAGTGGAAGGTGTCCCTGACCATGGCAGTGGAGTTGAAATGAGATGATTTTTAAGGTCTTTTCTAACCCAGACCATTCCATGATTCTAAAATTCCATGATTCTTGTTCACTGGCCCTTGACATCCATCTCTTTCCCTGTAGGAGCCCTGAAGTCCATCATGAAAAAGCGGGATGGTCCTCCCCAGAGCAAGGCAGAGGGCAGCAAGAAGAGCCTGCAGTTTGTGGGCGTGCTGAATGGGGAGTACGTGCTGAGGGGCTCCTGCCACCCCTTGTGAGCCAATCCTGGTCCCCTGCATCCCTGTCCTGGGCTGGGGCCAGTGGCAGGGCCTGAAGGGGGCCAAACTGGTGCTGTGCTACCACTGAGCATCTTCCCTCTGTGCAGGTATGAGAGCACATCCAGTGAGGAGGAAGAAGGCAACAGCTCCTCTGAGAAGGCTTCAGCCGACAGCTCCAACAGTTCAGAGCAGGGAGAGACCGAAACCTCAGAGGAGGAGGCTGGGGAAGACACGTGTGAGCCCAGACTGGAGTGCAAGGAGAGTGATGTGACCCTGCTGGAGCCCCCCGAAGTGAAGGAAAAGTAAGTGCTGGTGGAGAAGGCTCCCTGCTCCCTGGCCCTGCACAGTTGGGAGCCAAGGCACAGGCCTTGCCAGCTTGGGGCATCTGCCCCAGCCCCAGTTTCAATGCTGCCAGTGGGAACCCATTCAGCTCCTGCAGAGACCATTCATCAGGAAGCAATCCTTCCAGTTTCTTGGATCTGCTAAGGAAAGGATGAGAGGCCCCAGATGCCTCTTTGCTGCAGAAGATAGTTTAGAGTGGGACAGAAAAACTGAACAGCTTTCAATAGCATTTTTCAACAAAAGGAAAAAATGTGGCCTAAGAATGGGTGAATCGTGCCCAAGCACATCCATAGTAAGGCTCCATTCTGTTGCAGCTTGCAGAGGCTGAAACAGCCAGGGTGCAGCCAGTGGGCTGGAGCTTGCACCCTGGGGACCTTGCAGAGAATTGTAGGCACTGGGGAGCTCACAGGTTTGGTGGGTTGATGCAGCCCCACACCACGGACATCGTCATGCTCTCCACAGGTTTGAGCTGAGCCCCAGGATGAGGGAGGCCTGCCTCATTGTCAAGACCCACCTGGGCCACCCTGGTGCTGCCAAGAGTAAAGAGGTGGTGAGTGGAGCGCTGCGGTGGGATGGCTTGCCCAGCCCCTGCTGACATCCCTCTGAGTTGGCCCTACTCAGAGAGGTGCCAGCAAAGCCTGGCTCAACATCTTCCCCCAAAATACAGCCCTTTGCTCCACAGTTTGTCCCAGAAACCCCAAAACCCATGTGGACTCAGCTCAGGCCATGCCCAGCATGGGTTTGGGCAGTTCAGGGTCCTGCCTTCACCCACCCCCTCAGGAGCAGGGATTCTGCTCCTTGCCACCTGGACTGTCAGCAGGGGGTGGGTGCCAGGGTGCGAGGCCATGCAGAGGCTTAAAGGGAGCTCAGCCCCTCTCTGTCCACAGCTCACCAGCAGCAGCCTGATCCTTCAGGAGTGGTTCCGTCTGTCCAGCCAAAAGTCGTCCATCCCTGACACAGTTGCCAACCACCTCCTGGCCTTTGCTGAGGTCTCACCAGCTCTCCTGGCCCATGTGGTGAACCTGGCAGATGGGAATGGCAACACAGCCCTGCACTACAGTGTCTCCCACTCCAACTTCCACATCGTGTGGCTGCTGCTGGATACAGGTCAGTTCCCCCCAGCCCCAGAAACATCCCCTGGCCACCATCCCACTGTACTCCAGGACATGTCCTGGCCATGTCAGCACAGGGGGAAGGCAATGGCAGCAGAGGGGCAAGGAGAGCTGCCCTGGATTATGTCTGTTCATAGGTGTGGGGGTCAAAGTAGCCACAGCCCAAATTTCCTGGGGGAGATCCATTAGCAGTTCTGTGCCTATGGGATGGCTCACAGCACCCTGGTCAGGACTGTGAGGGAGAGCCAAGCACATGGTTTGGTCCATGTCTCCCACCAGCTGTGCAGCATCCTGAGCCCCCTCTGCCCACCCCCACAGGGATCTGTAATGTGGACCACCAGAACAAAGCTGGATACACTGCCCTCATGCTGGCAGCACTGGCAGCTGTTGAGCAGGAGGAGGACATGAATGTGGTCAGGAGGCTCTTCAGCATGGGCAACGTCAACGCCAAGGCCAGCCAGGTTGGTGTGGTTTGAGGGCCACCACATTTTGACCCTCCCACCCTCACCTCCCAGATGCCAGAGCCATGCTCAGCTCTTCCAAGGGCAGGACAATGGCTCCAAAACCTGGAGGCGTCAGTGCATGAGGAGTGCATCACCTTAGGAGCTCCTCCTGCGTGGCAGCAGGGCTGTCTCAGCAGTGGTCCTGTGGTGCAGGACAAGTGGGTAGCACAGCAGGGGCAGGGGTGGCCTGGCACTGTCCCTTCCTTGCAGGCTGGCCAGACAGCACTGATGTTGGCTGTCAGCCATGGCCGGCAGGAGATGGTGGAAGCCCTACTCGCCTGCGGTGCTGACGTGAACCTGCAGGACGAGGAGGGCTCGACCGCGCTGATGTGCGCCTGTGAGCACGGCCGCGTGGAGACCGTGAAGCTGCTGCTGGCTCAGCCCACCTGCAACATCTCCATCGTGGACAGTGTAAGGTTCTGTCACTGGGCTGGGGCAGCCAACGCTATGTCCTGTCCCCAAACCTCTTTCTGCATGCTCTCCTTTACTTTCTAGGATGGCAACAATGCTGTTGCCATTGCACTGGAGGCTGGTCACAGTGACATCGCTGCACTCCTCTACGCCCATCTCAATGGCACAAAGGCGCAGGCACCCGTGAGTACCACACCGCTCCCTGTGAGAGGAGAAAGGGCTGTGACACAGATGAGTGTCTCCAGGAAGAAGCTGCAGGAGCAAAAGCAGAGCATTTCAGGTGCCACATGCTCAGAACAGCCCTGCTGGCCCTGACCAGGAGTCACTGGAGGGGTCTCTGGTGACTACTGTATTGCAGCAGGAGACTTCACCGACAGCCACAAAGAGCCCTGGCAGTACAAAGAAACCAAATTAGAGTGCCCTTGGGATCCAGCCAGGAGCAGCCATCGGCACTGGCCTGTGATTCACATCCCCTCACCTGCCACTCTTCTGTGCCGAACCACTCTGCAGCTTTAGTCCCAACACAAGCACCATCCCTGGGCCTCCCATGCCCTTCTCCTCCACTGGATGCAGCCCACACGTGGCCACCTCACCGCCAAGTGACTGGAGCCGTTACCTAAGGGCAGGAGACACAGGGAGCAGAAGCCACCCTACCCCTTCTGCTCCCTGCCATGACCACCAGAGCTGCACCATCTCTGAGCCCTCAGCAAGGAGGAACAGCAGAGAACCAACTCAGCAGAAACGGCACCTGGTTTGTGTTCTCTGGCAGTTCCAAGGCGGCAGCAGTGCCAGTGATGGAGCCAGGAGAGCAAGTGGTGAGTCCTGGCCTCAGCAGGGACATGGTGCTCAGCAGGCACACATCCTGTGCAGCAACGGGAGAGGGAATGCTGCCTTGGACAGGGGCTGTTTCCAGACTCAAATACTTGCCCTTCTTTTCTAGCATTTCCTTTCTTGGCTGAAATCTGTTTTGTTTTGGTTTTTTTTCTCTTTTCTAGCACATACACTCAAAGCAAAAAAAATTATATTGCTTGGCCAAATGATGAAGTTCAGCATGAACTTGGGATTTGATTTGCTCTGCTCAATGGGAGCAAAACCTCTGAGCAGTTGGGGTCGCAGCCAAGTGGCAAAAAGAGCTTAGGGCCAAGGATGCATCTGGGGACTAAGCCTGCCTACCTGATAATTCACAAGGGGAGCAGGTCCTTCTCCCAAGGGAGAGAGACCAATTACATCCTAAACATTTCCCCAATTAGCCAGTCCCACAGATTGTGCAGACATCTGTGAGCCCACAGCTGAGTCCCTCTCTGACCACTTTCCATCCCAAAAGGGAGGAAAGTAGCTGAGGACAGCACCAGGAAAAACACATGGGCCAGAAGAGCTCAGAGCACACAGGTTGCGTCTGCAAAGGGGAACACGTATGTCAGAGAACATGTCTGTGCAAGTGTGTGAGCACTGTCTGGGGTGGGAACAGGGTAAGGACAAGGACCAGGAGGAAAAAGGTTTTTGCGTGGGATGGCAGCTCTGCTCTGAGCCTTCACAAAGGTAACGTGTTATGCCCCTCATTCCTTCCCCTTGGCCCAGCCTCACCACTTCTGCCCCTGCCTGACCTGCTCTGAGCTGAGGAACCCCACAATCCTCCCCAGAAACTTGCTTTCAGCTTTGCACTGGAGTTAATATACAGCGCTCACTGCCATTCCCTAATACACTATTCTGTTTACTGGTATTTTAATACTGATGTTTATTTTTAAGATATAAAGTTATTTTGAAATATTAACAGTGATATCTGCAGTCTTCTGCCTTGTCTGGTTCACAACAAACCCTGCAAGAAGAGCTGGGGCAGAGGCACAGCCCCCAACCTAAGCAGGTGACCCCACATTCCAAGTCATTCACTGCAAGTTTATGCACTGGCTATATCCCTCAGTCTGGCTTTCTTCCTGCTGAAGTGTGCCAGGCAGCTGCAGCGGTGTCTTTTCCCCTTTCATTCTACAGGACCAAGAGGAACATAGGACCAGCTGCAGCCCTGCACTGCCCCTGGTTCTCTGTGGTGCTGATGTTACAGTGCATCATTAAACAGCAATCATCAGACCAAGTGTGAGGATGCAAACTGCCTCCCTCCTCGTATGGATGGGGAACAGGCTGACCCCACAGGGATATTCCAGAAGGGATACAGCTCTCTAAGCCACTCTGTCCCAGTCACCCAGCACATAGGGCTTGCAGGGGCCAGAACAAACACTCTTGGGTCACTGATGAAGTGAGGGAATGAACAGCAGCCACAGAACTGAACTCTGAGAGGACTTCTGACACACATGACCAGTTCTGAGCTCTGCTGCATTACATAAGCCAGGGAACACAGCCTTGTACTAATTCTCTGAAACCCCCAAAAAATCACAAATTACATCAAGCAACAGCAGAAACACAAGGGCTTTCTCCATGGCACAAACTCCTCACCTCATGTTGCCCATGAGCTGCCCATGAGTTGAGGGCACAACTAAAACTTGCAGAAAGGACAAATCCCGCACTCTGACATCAGCCCTGACAATCATCAGTGCCTGCTCCAGTTCAACATTTTTCACATCTCTCAGCAGTGCTTTGCTCAGCTCAAATCCCCAGAAACACCTGCTACTGAACTGCTGAGTCAAGCTCAGGACACTGAAGACAACCACTCCCCATCAGAGACCACACATGAGAGGCTGCAGATCTGACTCTGCCCAACCCTACACCACAAACCTGGACTACTCTATAAGCAGATAAAAGATGCCAGTCCTTAAAAACCTGCCCTTGAAACAGCAGTTTTAAGGCTCTTTCTAGACTTTTCAGCCCTATTTTGACTTATGTAATATCCTGAAACAACACATCTTGCTAACTGGTTCTGTGGTGGAAGGGAAAGCCCAAGTGAGATGAAGGAGTCAGTAAATCAGAGTGACAAGCACTTGCTCTCTATGGGTGACTGCCAGGAACGACAGTAAGTCAGTGTTTTATGGCAGCATTCACTGAGCAGTTTGCTGAGAACAGAGGGACAGAAACAGCAGGCTGTTGCTTTGCAAGCTAGTACCATGCTTGACTTTAAACTTAAGATTTAATTCCACTGAGGTTCAGTAAGTTTCCAGTGCCAGTTCATCATACAGAAAATTGCTTACCAGAAAAATTAGGATTAAGGCTACTGCAATCAAAACGGAACTACTTTTGTTGTGACAGGTCAGTAAAGATGCAATAACACAGTAACATTACAAGGCACTATATGTAACCCCAGTAACAAGCAGAGCATGTTGCTATTGAACCCGAGGAAAGCGGCAGGTGCCCCCGTGTTTGACAAAACGGAGGTGTCAGGCGGCGCTTGATGAGTGAAAACCGGACAAGGGGCTACTGTAAAAACCCTTTATTGCCGTGACACGTTCGCCACGCTCCTTCCCACCCGCGCCCCAGGGTCGAACGAGCCGCGCCAGGCTCCATCCCCCGATGGACGATACGGCAGCAGGGGTGGCCCCGGGTCCCGCTCAGCGCAGCCGCCGGGCCTCGCGCTCCGACTCCAGCAGGGTGAGAACGTCGCCCTCGCGCACCGGCCCCTTCACGTTACGGATGATGGAGCGGCTCGTGTCGTCCATGAACTCCACACGCACCTGCGGGGCGGGACCGCGTCAGCCTGGCCGGGCCCGGACCGCGACACAGCGCCCGCTCTGCCCGGCCCGCTCACCTGAGTGCACTGCCCCTGAGAGCCGGTCCGGCCCAGCACCTTGGTG